GCCAAATTAGTGTTGATTTGTGCACATGAATTGTTTGATGATATGCCAAGGGGAAGTGCATGTATGAGTATGATTATGTGTTACCTTGGGATGTGCTTGTAGATGGTAGCGAATGACATGTTGGCATTCCATAATGCATAATTGCATTTAAATATGTAAATTTAGAAAGAATTATAAGCATGAAACCATCTACATACATATATATTCATAAGAGCATGAAAAAGCCCTAAAATATGTTAAAGAGAAAATAGAAATAAATGAGAATATTAAAGGTATTCAAATCTGAAATTTTACCTAAAGAAGTGTAAAAAGATAAAAAAAAGAAGAGAGGGTTGTTGCAGTGGGGAGCCCGTGAGTGACATAGTCCCACATGCACGCCGCCTTTAGTGAGCGGCCTTAGAATTCAGAAAGAAGAAATGTACAGTTTGTTAGAAGTGTGTGTGGATAAGGACTATAACCAGAATTAGAGAATTCACTCACACGGCCAAGGCTCCAAATCCATGCCTCAACGGAGTTCGATCGACAAGAATAGAAAGAAAGAATAGAAAGAATAGAAAGAAAGAATAGAAAAGAAAGAAAGAATAGAAAGAATAGAAAAGAAAGAAAGAAATAAAGTAAAAGAAACAGAAGAACAGAATAAGAAGAATAGAAAAGAAAATGCATAATTTATGCATTTGTGCATTTGCATCATGAATATGCATAATACCATGCTCATTATCATGGGTAGTGAAAAAATTTAGAAAACAGAGAGCAAAACGGAGAAAAAATAAAGAAAGAACAGGGAAAGAATAGAGAATAATCGGGAAATGTGATGTAAGGAAAGAAAATTTGGAATTTTAAGCAGCGGAGAGAGAAGGGTAGCATAGCGGGTTTACTTACTGAGCAATTAGTACTCACTCTGTTGTTTTTAATGTTTTTGCAGTTAATAGGTGAGTTGCGGTCGCACAGAACATCGCGCAATGGATGGGTTGGGCTACACTGGCACATTGCTATTTTGAGTATATTTTGTAAATATTTGTATATAAACAAAAATTAAATATAGGCCCATACTTTGTTACTTGTATATATTTGTATTTTCTTATATATATTGTTAATGAGATTTATTAATTATTTTACGAGTATACTAGCTAGAAAGAAAGCATTACAGTCAACCTCCGGTTACTCTCGATATTATGTATTCAGTTACTGGACCAGTGACCTGTATTATAAACTGGGTAGAGCAACAACTCAATCCTACTGTGGCCATAGTTTTAGTGTCATTGCCATTTACTGAATTGTGCCGTGAGATAACTTCTCTTGTACCCGGGAGTGATGAATCCTCTGTCTATCCACCATAGTCTTGATACACTCCTTGATGCAACCAATCACCACCATATTGACAGCTCTGAATAGAACTATGTTAGGCTAGTGTCAAACTGCACCAATGGGTGCACAAGGCACTCCGGTGATCTCAAGTCTAAGGATCACATGCATTACCATTCGTTAGAGGATTTGTTCCATAGATACTTGGGTTACCATCCATATGGAATCCTCTGGTGGGTTAGTCCAGTGAACTTGCCTACAGCAAGCACCCGTGTGATGCACCAGGTTGTCACCAAACAACCTTGACAAGTGAGATCAGTCACTGCCTTTCAACAAGGTCGTTGAACACTATGATAGCCTTACCGTATTATTTGTGCCCTTACTTCAGAATAATACTAGGGCTACGGATGTTTTTAGAATGGCCACCATATGTGCTCATAGGGTTCTCACTATCAAGATTTGAAACACTTGATACCCTCGTCATCAATACATACAATGATGATTTACGCGATATAGTATAAAATGCCTTCTATTGATCAATGAAATTATTACAAATAGTCAATTCTATAATAATTTGATTGGCTTTAGGGTATCTATTTTAACAATCTCCCACTTGCACTACAGCCAATCATTCGTGTATTTAATACCAAATGATCTCAAGTACCTTTTATGCTTCTGCTGCGACAGAGGCTTTGTTAGTGGATCTGCGAGATTATCGTCAGTATGCACTTTACTAATCTGCACATCTTTCCTTTTAGCTATCTCTCTGATGGGATGGAATTGTCTGAGTATGTGTCTAGACTTCTGATGAGACCGTGGTTCCCTGCTTTGAGCGGTTGCTCCATTGTTATCACAATAAATGTCTATTTGATCAACAATCGTGGGAACCACACCAAGTTTAGTAACGAACTTCTTAATCCAGACTGTCTCCTTGACCGCATCTGACAATGCAATATACTCAGCCTTTATTGTAGAGTCTGCTACAGTGCTTTGCTTGGAGCTCTTCCAGCTCACTGCACCCCCATTGAGACAAAATACAAACCCTGATTGGGATTGATAATCATCTTTGTCCGTTTGGAAACTAGCGTCACTGTATCCTCTTACAGTGAGCTCATCTTCCCCTCCATAAACCAAGAACATATCCTTAGTCCTCTTCAGGTACTTAAGAATATTCTTGACAGCCATCCAGTGACGCTCACCTGGATCCGATTGATATCTACTACAAGTGCTCAAAGCACATGAGACATCAATCCGAGTACATAGCATGGCATACATGATGGATCCAATTGCTGATGCATATGGGATCCTCTTCATCCTATCTCTCTCATCTTGTGTTTTAGGACACAATTCCTTAGAGAGATAAACACCATGTGACATCGGAAGAAATCCTTTCTTGGATTCTTCCATACTGAATCGTTTCAGTACTTTGTCAATATATGCACTCTGACTTAGGCCAAGCAACCTACGCGATCTATCACGATAGATCTTTATACCAAGGATGTAGGCTGCTTCCCCTAAGTCTTTCATGGAGAAGCACTTGGATAACCAAGTCTTTACCGACTGCAAGTTCGGTATATCATTCCCGATCAGAAGTATGTCATCGACATACAACACTAGGAATGCTACTGCGCTCCCACTCACTTTCTTGTAAACACAGGGCTCATCTTCGTTCTTGATAAAACCGAATTCTTTTACGGCCTCATCAAAACGAATGTTCCAGCTCCTTGAAGCTTGCTTGAGTCCATAAATGGATCTCTGCAACTTGCATACCTTATTAGCTTGACTATCAAGAACGAAACCATCAGGTTGTGTCATATACACATCCTCCTCAAGGTTTCCGTTCAGGAAAGCAGTTTTGACATCCATTTGCCAAATCTCATAGTCATGATATGCAGCAATTGCAAGCATAATCCGGATGGATTTAATCATGGCAACCGGCGAAAAGGTTTCTTCATAGTCAATGCCATGAATTTGTTTGAAACCTTTGGCAACCAGCCGTGCTTTATAAGTATGCACGTTGCCATCCATGTCAGTCTTCTTCTTGAAGACCCATTTACACCCTATNATAAAAAAAAAAAAAATCTGAATTTTGGAAATGCAAATACAAATTGAGCAAATAATTTTTAATAGAAGTGAGCAACTGAGCATATAATTATAATAATAAGAAATGAGAATATTGATTCACTTTAGTATAAAAAAAAAAAAAAAAAGAATCTGAAAACTGGGGGAAGTTCATGAATTTGTTCAGATTCTAGTTAAAAATTAGATTTCTGTTTAAAGAAAATCATTAAATTTGTTAGAAACTAAAAAATATCGAGGGTCGTTTACTCTTGAAAATTTTCAGAAATCTCAGGTAATATTATAAAACATTCTTAAATAAAATTCTTTAAAATTTATTGATTATCTTATAATCAGCCCGAGTTGTAAACGCAAAAATTTATCTAAGGCTTTGTCGTCTCCGGCGCCTGCAACTGGAAATGAGCGCAGTACGCACACTAGCCATGGCTGCCAACGGCTTCACTGCTAGAAGAGCATTTCAAGCTTTTTCTTTCTCTCATCCTCTTCACACCTTCTCTTTTCACCCAACTTCTACTTCTCTCACTTTCATCTCTTCACTCAAACAACACTCACCAGGTAAATTATACAGACCCAATTGGCTTAATTGCTGACATACGTCATCTATTGAGCTTTATGATTCAGCAAAGCGTTAAACTTAGTGAAGAAGGAAAAAAAAAAAAAAAAAAATTTGTATTTTTTTATTGTTCGTGTAGAAAAGAAAGAATTTTGATTTTATTTTGTTGAATTGCTATTCTCTTTGTTCAGGAATATGTCACCTTGCTCAAGCTATAAAGGGTGATGTGGATGATTTAGTTAAGGGTGTTGGAGATAAAAGTTCCATTGAGGAAGTGAAGTATATTCTTGAAATGGTAAGAAGGAAATTTTTAAGAACTTTGACTTCATTGAGCTGGAAATGATTAAGGCCTTTTTGTGAGTTAGTAAGAATTTGTTAGTGTGTGTGTGTGTTTTGTTGTTTGTTTTAGGCGAAACGGGCGTCCTTACGAAGAGGAGTTCTACACACGGATTTTGTTACCCCTCCAATATTGAAGGAATCAATGATAGTGTTGGAAAAATTAGCTGATGTTAAAGCAGTTGCTCAGGGAGGATACCCTCAGGTTCGATAAATTTTGGCTGTGAATAAGTCTTCAAATGAATTGAGTATTTGATTGTTTCAAATGAAAAAAGTGCATTTCATTTGAAATATTTATGAGAGTGTGAAATTATTGGAATTCAATTGTAAGATGGTTTAACAATTAAGGATCAAATGCACTTAAATTTTGGTTTCACATTTAGCATTCCCATGAACTTGAGGTTCACATGATTATTTCCTTATGTTAACCTATACCGGGGAGAATATTAGAAAGTGTGTTGAACTTTGAAGTGAAAGTATCTCATCTCAAGAGTGGGACGGCAAGGCATCACAGGGTAGGTTTCTGTAGAAAACTTTGGGGTGGTTTCACACTTCATTTTCTCAGTGAAACAAATATAACTGTGAACCATGTAATAATGCTGTCTATGGATGATTGCTGTTGTAGTTTGCACAACTTTCATTTGAATGTAATTGCATGTATTCTCTTTCGTAGTCAGATAAATGGTTTATCTGACATTAAGTAGTAGGCATAGAATTGTTTTCTGATTATATGTTAATATACCCTCCCAAATGTCTAGGCCGAGCGATGCCGGATTTCTGTTGGACATCCGGAAGCATTGACAAGTGATCCAGATGTAGTTGCAGCATTGAGGTAAGTTATTTTATTGCCTCGTTTTTCAAACTCTTCTAGCATTTAGGGCATCAGTAATATGAATATTCCATTCTATCGTCTTAAATTTTACTTCTTCATCCAGTATCACAGGAAATTTTGTATTTGAACCTTGTTCTCATGGTGACTTCCTTGGTGCTATTCTGGGCACCGGGATTGCTAGGGAAAAGCTTGGAGATATTATCTTAAAGGTATTATCTACATTTTGTTTCATGTCGCTCACATTAGGCTCTCTTTATTTGACACAGATTGGCTTATAGCGCTAGAAGGCTGTCTTAGTTCCTTCACACAAATCCTTAATTAACCTGGTTCAGATTACATGTTTAACTACCTAAACATCATTTGCACAGTAATGTAGTAGCTATCTGTTTTGAATGCTTGTTATGCAGTTATATACTTGAACATGTGTTTGACATGCTTCTATCATGTTCATCACTTTGAACTTGTCCAATTTATTGTGGACACCTTGCTGGAACCTTGTCAACACGTAATGGGAACTTTTAAATATAAATTTAAAAGATAATTTAATGTTGTGATTAATTATAGTCAACCCCAAAATGTGGGGTAGGGACTTGTTGGGTTGAGTTAATTAATATACTTTTTTATTCTGATTATTGTTCAGGGAGAAAAGGGGGCTCAAATCCTAGTTGTTCCAGAACTCGCTGACTATCTTATATCATCACTGGAGAAGGTGGGAATTACTTTTCATAAATTCTTTCTCTTAAATTACCTCAACCTTTCTTGGTAAACAAAAATTTAAAAATTCCCTTCTTTTCCACTTTTTGGAATTAACTGTAAGGAACATTACTACCACAACTACCCTAGTTTCTGCTTTGCCTCACCACATTAACCATATGTTGGTCATTTTTTATTTGGTTTCTTTGGTCTTACAAGTACATAAATATTTTTTTCACCTCTCAGTTATTTAGTGGCAAAGGGTTAAATGTACTGTGGGGTATGAAATAATGCAATACAGTCTGGCTTCAAAGAAGATATGACTTAGCATGTTGGCAATTTCCCAATGCAAAATAATTATGTTTATAGTACTTATATTGCTGCAGACCACAGTGCTTAAGTGCTTTCAGTGTTGCTGTGTTTCTTTGACCATCTCTAATGCATTTGTCCCCATACAGGTTGGTAACGTTTCAGTCTCTTGTACAAAGATACCATTGCTTGCTCTTGAATATGAACCACCAAGGTTGCAACCATTATTTTGGTAATTTTAATTTCCGTGATACTCTTCATTTGGTATTTTTCAATGACTGTGTGACACCTTCAAATTTACAGGACGAAGTCATTCAAAACCATAGAAGCATCACTGAGGGTTGATGCCCTAGCTAGTGCAGGTTTTAAGATATCACGGTCAAAACTAGTTAATTTGATCAGGTACAACCTACTTTGCTTATACAGAATCTATTCCTGATATTATGTTACTATATTCAATTTTTCATCTCTCTCTGTATGTTCTAATAATTTTCCTTGATATTGGTTTTACTGTTTAAAAAGACGGTTGCCAAGTTCATTGTACATACATCCATAAGCTTGACATTTAACTTTAGGATACTACTACTGTGTGCAGGCTACTCAATTTCAGTTTGGTCCTTCTACTCTGGCTTTTTGGGTTCATCTCTTCTAAAATGAATGATAATGAAAGAGTGTGCATTTTTTTTTTCAATTATTCAAAGCAAAACTTGATTTTTACTCCAGTATCTACAGAATGTGAGAATTAAAAATTAATAATAGTACTTTTGGTTGAAGTCTAAGAGATAGGGAGAGCTTAGGAAAGACATGCTAACTAATGTCTATCTGCATCTTTTACCATTCTTCACATTGAACATAAATTAATGGAGCTGAATTCTTTATTGCACCAGTCATCTCTTTTTGAATCAATACATCTTCGCTTTTGGCTAGATCTTTTCTGTTCATGTAGTTATTTATTCATTTTGTAATAAGTTGTTTTATACATGTCATCCGAGTTTATAGCAATTTGAGTGTAGGAATGCCAAAATGAATCAGTTCTTAATTTCACTGAACTTCATGAATCATGACCCTAAAGTTAAAATGTGAAACGGAAAACTTAACTGAGACATGGCTAAAATTCTCTGTCCTTGGCAGTAGCGGGGATGTGCGAGTCAATTGGACCACCGTTACAAAAAATGGTACTACTCTCAAGACTGGTGATGTTGTCTCAGTTAGTGGCAAAGGAAGACTGAAGGTGAGTTTACAACTTTGATGAAACACCATTCTGGGATCAAATTTCTATATAACTGTATTTTGCTGTTGTCCAGATAGGAGAAATAAACTCCACAAGGAAAGGAAAGTTTGCAGTTGAGCTCATACAGTATTTGTAGGAAGCCTCGGCGCATGTTGTTTCATGATCATCGAGCTGAACCAGTGGCTGTCATCTAGATTACATGTTTCTTCACTCAACATGTTAGAGCGTAATATAAACCAGTGTCGAGCCATTACTTGCCAACTTAGTTATTTTGGGTCAAGTGGTTATTTAACATTGTACAAGAGCATGATTTCTGAGCTTGATTACCCTAATCGTGCCCTATCGCTGTGTAACTTATCTTTTATCTCTTCTTTCTGACCCTTCAAAATCAAGTAATTATCCAACATAGATATGGGTTTTTCTTCTTTGAAGCAGAAACCAGAGGGGGTCTTATGGAAACTCAACCCAGCAGCTGCATAAAGGACTAATGGTAGGGAAGAAAATGGGAAAAACAAGCTGTACCCGGTAAAATGTTGTAATTATTTTATTTTTTTATATTAACAAATTTATCATTTAAACTATACTCTCATCTTTTATTTTATTTTTCGATCCCATTAATTTTGTTCACACAATATGTTAAACCTTCCATTTTGTTTTTGTTTGAACAAATGTACATGTTTTGAACATCAATTAAAGAAAATATTAATTTTTTTTTTTTCTCTTTTGGTGTTTGGATGTATGATGAAACTTTATTTTCTTTTTCATATAGAACTGTTAAAGTAAACAATTTCGTGGATTAGTTAATGCTAAGTGTGTATTAGATGCCTCAAATTATAGTTCAAGTTTATCTTCTTTTTTTCCCCAATTATTATTAAGAAAATAGAAGATTATTTAGGTCATATCCATATAAAAATTGAAGTCAACTTAATTATATTCATTTTGAGACCATCAATTCATTTAAAATTCTAGGGTACCAATTAAAGATCATTTGACATTTCAGAATAAAATTGTAATGCATAATTATTGTAGGCTAGAATTTTAATTTGTATCTGGGATATCCATTTCTGTACGAATTAAAGTTAAGGATGTGGAGTGCTACACAAAAGGATTAATATTAGGGGTGGAAAAAAATAACCAAAACCAAACCGAACCGGAAAATCGAACTGAAACCAAACCAAAAAACTGCTTATTCGTAAATGTATACATTATATCTATAAAAATAATTGGTAAATGTATTTATGTAACTTATTCTTATTTAATTATTTTTTCCCTATTTTCTAAACTAGGGAAGGATTAGGATGAATATTATATAATAGAATATGATTCTATCAAGTAAATATAAATAATAATACTAGCCTCACAAACATCTTTCACTAACTCATGTGGCAGCTCGCAATTAGCTTGGTCAAGTGGGACCTATTGTTGGACAGGCATGACTCATGCAAGTTGACTAATTGTGAACTGTCACGTTGTGTTTGTGAGAGAAAGTTAGTGAGAAGTGTTTGTCAGTGTAATATTACCCAAATATAAAAGATGAAAGAAACATAAATATGAATATACTTTTTAAATGTATATTTAATTTCCTCTAATATCCCTATTTTCTTGAAGTAATAAAATAACACACCAAAATCACTTGAAAAATAAAAAAATGGTTCCCAACCCACATAAGTAGGAGAGGCACACAATTATATATGAGATGGACATACAAAATTTGTATGAAACTTAAAAAGAGTTATGAAATTCACAAGATGTGCCTTTTCAATCCATAAGGGCATCTCTAACACAGCGCTATAAATAGCATGAAAAAGGCCTCTAACCTAGTGCCATTTTTTGCACCAATTTGGTGCTCCTCTACAGTGCCATGTCAAATTTGGTGTAATACTGTTCATGCACATCAATTTGGCGTGGCACTGTTCAAACAGTAAAAAAAATTTTTTTTTTTGTTATTTGTATTTAAGTTAATTTGATTATTATTTATAATAATAAATTCATAAAAAAAGCATTGATCAATGTATATTGGATAGCTCTTGTTCAGAGAGGTGATGATCATATTTTTTTCATTAATTTCCACTGAACTCTTTTATAATGCATGTTGATCTACAGAGATTATAGATGATCAACATGCGTAGAAAATCTTGCTTAATACTAAGAAATAAAAGACTTCAAAACCATGTATAATATTACATAAGGGAAGAGTTGTTAAATTTGACTTCATTCGGTATATCAAAGCCATGTATAATATTACAATTAGTTGATTAAAAAGCATTGATCAATATATATTTAGTATTTACGCGTATTTTAACTAATTTTTGAGATCTTGAAACTAGTGGCGGGATAAGAGTTTCAGTGACCACTCTTATTAGCAACCGAAAAGGAACTCGAACTCAGTATCTCTTGAGTAATACATCTACGAGACAATTCTTATATAAATAACCTAGAAGTCAATTAACATAAATTAACAAAATAACAAGCAATTTGCCTAGTGGTGAACCTGCTAATTTCCAACTTGTTTTTAAATTAATTATATTTAGGACAAATACGGAGGAGACCAAGACCAGTAGCACCCCATTTGCTTGAACACGAAGGAGAAGTCTCCTGTCACATGTGTAAAGGATCTTTTTTTCCGGCTCAAAATACGGGCTCGCATTTTCCCACATTGGATCCGGCCTGATGGGTTATGATTGGACATGCGTTCCAATCTCCATGGTTGATCCGAGGAATTCTATACTTGATAAACACATCACCATCACACAAATCCATAGAACATTGTTCGACTTTGAACTCCAACCTAGATTACGTGTGTTGACTCAATAATCACTCTTCGTCTCTGGTTTTTGAGTTACCAGATCATTTCCATGTGTAGGTAGCCATTTTTAAGTTTTGACATTTTCCTCTTTTTCTTCTGGAAATTAATTGCTTATTGCATGTTCATGCAATGCCTTCACCCCCCTAAAAATATGGAAAATTAAAGAAATATAACATGAAAAAGAATGTAACTTGGAGTTTTCTAATTAGATTTATAGTTTTAGTGTCAGTGTCAAATCCCAACGTTCAATCAAATAGAAATTGTTCGCTTTAACCTCATGCCCACGGGAATTTGTATATAGGCTTCATGGAAGTGTGAGTGTGACAAACCTAGGTATAATCTTTTTTCAAGCTTTGCATGAAAAACGTTTTTGTTGAATCCATCCTTTCATGCTTTCTTCTCCATTTCCACCACTCTTCATGCATGCATGATGGTCTTTCACTGTCGATGTAAGACTGGAGGGACTCGTCCCTCTCTTGCCTTATGTTGCTGAGGTAGCTCAAAGGCATTGAGAACTTCCTGTTCGCTTGAAAGTGTCTCAGGAATTTCGAGCTCATCTGATTCCACGAGCTGATCTATCCCGCTGGGAGCGACCTGAACCATCGCTTGGCATGTGAAGTTAGAGTTACTGCCAAGCAACAGCATTTTGCCAAGTTAGAAACTTGGTCAAATTCCATCAGGTCGTTAAATTCGTACAGGTGATCCTGCGGATCAGAATTCCCATCGAACGCCCGCATGTCGGGCATTCTGAATCTCGATGAGAGATGGGTGACTAGTACCGTATTTATATTTTCCTAATCATTTGTAAGTCAGTCCGCTGTTGCGACCTGACCCACAATACTAATACAAATCAGTGGACGTAGGACTTGCTACCTTAGCATCCGAACCACTTTAAAAAGCTCTCATTGCATTTACTCTACATTTCATCCATAATCACGTGTGTCTCTTGACCAATCAACGTTACGCACGTGTCGATTAGTTGGTGTCAAAAATCACACATCAACACATCCCTATCTGATAGCTAGCCATTTTTGACACCAATTGTCAAATCTCCGTCCATCTGATGGCAATCCCATTTTTATACTAATTGTCAAATTTGGGGTCCAACGTAGAAATTTCCGCTCTAAACTTAGACTTTCACAAATTTGCATTTGGGCTTCATCGCAAGTATCATTTACTCAAAATGCGTCTACTTAGTTATGAGGATCTAATGCTTATAAATTGAATCGCATGCCCATTTGCTAGCGGTGTGAGAAGATTCATAATTAACACACCAAATATATTGGACTTTACTATTAATCCAAGTGGAAATAATTGTCAGAGTTTAGTCTGGAAGGAAGGCAAAAGAGGCAGAAGACTGCAGAAGGATGCCAATAGAGGGAAGCTTGACAAAGTAGCAGAAACAATGCTGAAGAATGTCAAGAAAAGAGAGAATAAAAGACTGTAATTTTGTATATATTTCGTGTATTGTAATGAGTACATTAGCCAATTTATATAGTGGCTTTGAACACAATAAAGGCAATGAAATAATACAGTAAAGGAAATATAGTAAAGACTTAATTACAAAATATTACAGTTATCAGTCAAATAAATGCAAATCAATAATTGCTTGATTCCAACATGAGTATCTTTAGCATTCCATATTTCATCACTCCCCTTTAAGCTGGTGGTTTGTAAATGTTGAAAACCCCCAAGCTTGTGTAGTAAATAAGAATGATGACGACTGCATAAAGGTTTTGTGAAAATATCTATTGGTTGTTCCAAGCAGGGGCGGATCCATAAATTTTTATTAGGGTGGGCCAAATGAAAACTAATTGTACATAACATTCATATTCTGTTTTTCTAGTCAAAAGTGACAAAAAAAAAAAAAAAAATTATATTTACTATTGTCCTCGGTGGGGCTTCATATTGAGGAATCGTTGCATGACCATCCCTTTATCAACACTGTCAAATATATCTTTCTCAACATATAGAATTAGGCTATCATTCAAGAATTGATCTCCCATCCGATTGAGTAAATGAGTCTTCACAATTTTCATAGTAGAAAATGCCCTTTCTACACTTGCAGTTGCAATTGGTAAGGTTAAAGCCAATGTGAAGAGCAAATATACCAATGAGTAAATAAAATGCTTCTTCTTTTCAAACACTTTCTAAGCAAGAGTGGTAATGTCATTTAGTTCTGAAAAATCACTATCCGAGCACATATCATCAATGTAATTATCAAGTTGAAGTTCAAGTGCCATAAGATCAGTAGAAGAAAATTCCAGTGGATAAAATTGAGCAACACGAACTAATTTTCCCTTATCAAATGCATGAAAGCAATTACTTGGATTTAGGAAGGCCATGCAAATAAGTAATTCTGTATTACCTTCATTAAAACAACTGTTAAGCTCTGATAGTTGCAAATCTATTATGGCATAGAACAACTTGACATGATAATGAAATAAATTTGTCATCTCTTGAACATTACACCGTGATCTCCCTCGTGCAACAAATTTCTCTTCCATATTTGACACATTTATATTATGAGCAATGCAAAAATGAGAAACTTCATCAAGTAGATTATTCCATCCATTATTTCTTATCAACAATAATCTTCTTTTCGACAAGTGAACCAAAGACATAACATTTATAATATCTTGATCCTTCCTTTGTAATGCTTGTGAAAGTTCAAATGTGATTCCCAAAATGTTTTTCATCATGTGCAGGTTAAAATCAAAATCAAAAGAAGTCATATAATCCACCAAATCACTTGCTTCAACTCTATTATCAAAA